TAGATGGAAATGATGTTGCCGTTATATTTGGACGAACAGCTGAACCCTGTAGAAAAAAAAAACCTGTTTTCAAAATAATCAGGTACGTGTGGACAGAACCAGAGACATGATATGCAAGCATAATCCGCCAAGCTTTATAAAAAAAAAAATCAATATTTCTCTATCGTACGTGGTTTCCATTTTACAGCTATTTAAAAATTCGTAAGCGACTTGGCTCACTGGCACTCCCACAGGTTTTAAAGAGTTAAACATGTTATGCCCACATAAAAAAGTAAACTTCAAATTAACGTTTCATTTTAATGTTTTATGTTCACTTTAAAGTTTTGTTACGATTGACCACTAATTTGGCGGCTTCTCTGGGATTTGACTGTCTGACATATATGGGGGGGAAGGGGAGGTATGATCAGTGATAAAAAACAGAACATAACTAATAATGAAAAATGATTAGTCACGTGCATGCAGCTAGTGTCTCCTGGAAACAGTTGTGTCACGGTTGTGTCAAAGAAAAATACTTCCTCCTCTCAACCATTCTTGCATCAGATGTCATCAGAGTTCAAATGAAAAAAATGTCAAGTGCATGTGCTCTTTTAATCAGCTTGTACACGAGTTTCATAAAAGCAACTCTCCTCGATACAACACACTTAAATTCTGTAAATTACAGGATCGTGTTTTGGTTTTGGGACTCTACAGGGAGTAGTATAAGGTAGAGGAAGTAATGTAATGATCAATTCACATTTAGAAAATAATGTGCTTGTGTAACAACGGTTTATGTCAGCGTGTCCCCAGTGCAGCTGTGTTTTGCTCTAAAAGCTTCCAGTGTTTATCAGAAGTTTATTAAAAGACTGAATTATGAAACTGCAATTTCCAATCCATTTACTCAGACTGAGAACATGCATCACAACAAAAACAGCATTGCATAACTTTCCAAGCAAAAACTCACCGAAAAAAACAAGACAATGTCAATACACAGCTCAGGTATCATGGAAAAAGTCGCCTGGTATTGGGATTTGCAGAAAGTGATGACACACTTTAAAAACTCTGTCCAATAATCAATACCTAACCAATTGATTTTAAAAGGACCGATGTTAGAAGGAAAATGACTACAAAAAGGCTATTAATTCATTAAAAGATCTAGCCAAATGTAAGTTAATATACACTGAACCGGCATGAAAGGAATATTAAGAAAAAAGGCTACATTAGATTATGATTCAAGGTCAGCCATAGTGGCTCAAATTACCAATAATTTCCTTGCTGTATTCCCAGTTCATGAAAATTCCTGTAAAATCCTGTTAAAAAACAGTACCATACTTGAAAAAAAAAACGTTGGAATATTTTTACTGTGGTGTTCACATCGCACTCACTCTTGTCATATTTACTGTAAAAATTGAAAAAAAAAAAAAGTTTTGTATGTCCAAAAATCAAGAGTGTTGAAACAAAAGAAAAATTCATAACCCCCCTCCCCCAGAAGACAAGGTCAAAACAATGGGAAACCTTTATTTTAAAAAAAGAAAAAGAAACCTCTCCTAATCCTTTTACATTGTTCCAGGCACTTTTTGTGCCATTGTGACTTTTTTGTGGCAGAATTTTGAAACACAAGCCATATCACAGGTCTTGTACTTCCAGGAGTTATGCCTTCTTTTCACCACTAGATGGCACTGATGACAATGATTTGGAGTCTAAAACAAAACTAAAAGAAGATTGCAGATTTCTCACATTTTAATCTAATTACCTTAAAACTTATGTTTCATACCTCTTGTATGGTTTGTTTATAACCAAAATATCAAAACTAATAAGTTTTTAGAAACATTTACATTTTATTAGAAATTAAAGTTAAACAACAGCTGGGTTGTTTAATTTTTCAAAAAGCTTTTTTCAAAACAGCCGATTTGGTTGGCAAACGCACCGATGCGTACAAACTTCTAAGGGTTAAGGTTTCCGTGCAGTCACCCAGAAAATGGAATGGTCAAATATACTCAAGTTTTATTTAAATAATGGGTAAGGATTTGTGAGAGAGATTTACATGTGGCTTGTAGCAGGGAGAATGATTTGAGGCAGGGAGGGAGCTTATCTATGTGTGTTTGCAGAGTAACAAAACTGCAACAAAAGCGCAAAACACAAGTGCATCTGTTCAAGCATTCAACACCATTGAGTTTCTTTCATCTCTGTTCCTTTATCACTAGTTATTAGAACTCAAAACTGGTTTGGTAACCTCGGTGACCCTTGACCTAAATATATAGGTGAATCCAATAATGAGAAAATATTTAAGTGTTTCTCCTCTTTACATCTTGTAGAGAGGAGCGACAAGGGAACCTCAAAACAAATCTCATATGATCAGAAATCAATGATTGTTGATCATCATGGTTTAGGGAAAAGATACAGAAAGCTCTCAGAGATTTAAGCTCTTGGTTTTAACTGTGAGGAACATTGTGCGCAATTGGAAGAGCAGAGGCTTAGTTTTAGTTAAGACCTGCAGTGGCAACCCAAGAAATATCCCAGGTAAGCAGGGATGGTGAGAATAGTCACAGTCAACCTACAGACCAGCTACAAAAATCTACATCATCATCTTGCTGCGGGTGGTGTCAATGTGCATCGTTCAACTTTTCAACGCACTTTACGCTGGGAGATGCTGTATGGACAAGTAATGCAGGAAATTGCACCGCATTCCAAGAAAAACTTGCCACCTACAGAAAAATTTGGTGGCGGTTTCATGATGCTGTGTGGCTACTTCAGGAATCAGTGACAAAGTTGAACTTGCCAGGGATGCACCGAAACGAAAATTCTGGGCAGAAAATGAAACCGAAAATTTTGGATGCACTTGGCCGAAAACCGATACCGAAACCGAAAATGGCTTTATTAAAAAAACATATTTAAAATACGTTATTTTTGTTTGTATCAAAAACCTACAAATTAATTAAGCAATCAAACTTTTATTGATAATAAATAACAGTAATAAGGCTGTTTAACAATTAAAAAAACTATAACTTTAAATTACTGTAACAGTGCACAAACAGAAGAAAAATAATTGCAAAAATATTGCAACTTTGGTGTCCTCATCTGAAACTTTAAAGTGCTTCCAAACCTCTGACTTACTCTGTGTTTGAAGAGTAATGACAGCGCGAACGAGACGGGAAGATGAAAGAGGTGTGGCGACAATTTCGGCTTTTATTTTTATACCGATAATGCTATTTCGTCCGAAGATTTTCCGCGGCCGAAATTTCGGTGCATCCCTAGAACTTGCGCCAGGCATGGATCTTTCAACAAGACAATGACCCTAAACACGGCTCAAAAACTACTGAGACCTTCCCGTTGAGGAACAAGTACCTTTTAGTCTCCAGACCTGCCTATAATAGAAAATTTGTGGTGTGATTTAAAGCGGGCCGTCCATGCTCTGAAACCATCAAACCTGACCCAAACTGGAGATGTTTTGTAAAAAGGAGAATGTTCTAAAATACCTTCTGCCAGAATCCAGAACCTAATTGGAAGCTATAGAAAGTGTTTAGAGGCTGTTCAAAGGAGGATGCACTAAATATTGAGTAAACTTTCTTTTGTGGTACCCAAAGTGTTTCCTTCATGATATATTTAATTATAAAGCTTTGCAGGGTGCTCAAATATTACGGAGCATTTATTTGGCTCTAAAGTAATACGGGTTCATTAGACTAGAATACTTATGGAAATCCAGCATCCAGACACTTGCTTTATTTTCCAGGATGAGGCCGCTCTCCTTGTGTTGAGAGTGTTGATGTGTCTGTCTGATCCCAGTCATCATTCTGACGGCTCAGGGTCTTTTCAGGGGTCGATCAGGATCAAACGCTCTTAATCTTTGATAGTCGGTCTCTCTCTGCGCAGAGGTGGGGTTTCCAGAGAGATTACACAGCTCAGCGTGAAGGAATGCACTGCCTCTTATTCACATGACAGTCACACATACACACACTCCCCGTCACACTGCACCCACAGACCTTTGTACACACTCCTCTCTGCTACTTATATTTTCTTGTTCTGTTAGTGTATGCCTTTAACACGGAAGCACATTGTAATGTATACAGGTCATCTGATTGGTTGTATCAGGAACAGACACTGGCCATGTTTGCGCCCAAAGTTGCAAAGCAAAATTATGGGCAAAACGGGAATATTGCGTTTTTTAAAAGTTGTGAAAAAACCTCTTCTACATCGAGGTTCACACGGATCTTCAAAACTTCTCAGCTGGGTCTACATAGAGGAAATATTGATGCAATGACGCTCCCTGCCTAAAGATGGCGCTTGTGGAACAACAAATGCTCACCGTGTCAAACAGGGAAACAGGAAAAAAAAGATCAGGAAGAAGACAATGGCGGTTTATACTGTTGGTGGCTCTTCACAGGGAGCTGTTTGACAAAAAATCGGAGACGAGAGGATTTGTAGCGCGGTATATACTCCCTCCCATACTCATCCCGAGACTCCCGGAGGCTCCGTCCACCAGCTCCTCACTTTAACAACCAGATTCATCTGGAGATGTTCCAGCGCCCCGGAGGCTCCGCCCACCAGCTCAACTAACAACCGGATTCACCTGGAGATGTTCCGGCGCCCCCTGGACCTACACCTAACACAGTCATCATCTGTTTATACTATATTATCTCTTTATACTATATTTTATATAAATCACACTGCTGTTGTCGCCCAAATGAGGATGGGTTCCCCTTTTGAGTCCGGTTCCTCTCAAGGTTTCTTCCAAAAAGGGAGATTTTCCTTGCCACAGTCGCCCAGGCTTGCTCGTCAGGGACATATACACCACTTATTAATTAATTAATTCCTTAACTAGTTTATTAATTAATTAATTCGTTAATTAATTAACTCTTTTTTTCTCGTTGGTCTCACTCGTTTGGTCCGTTCTGTTATGTCCTGATGGCGCCTGGAAAATTCTTGGCAATGAAAATTCGGGTCGATGTGTAGAAGCCTTAAAGCATTTACATTTATCCAAAGCGACTTACATTTTGAATGAATTAACACATTTTTTTATTAATTCTTGCTTTTCCTTGGATTTGAACCCACGAGCTTTGCGTTGTTAGCCCAATGCTTTACCAACCAAGCCACAGGAAAGCTCCGTTTCAACCCAACGAGTCCAAGAGAACAAAATCATAACTTCCTGATAAAATGGTGCCAAATTTAGAACACGTAGACGAAACGCAATATGCGCAGTCATGTTATCTTGCTTTTGGAGTCTGGAGATTGCTCTTTGGGAACGCAGCCGGTCAAGACAGTTCTGGGGGCTGATGATCGAACCACTTTAACAACAAATGCATCGCTGGGATTTATTCGGTAAATGCGTTTCCATTGTAGTTTATGCACATTTTTTCTTATCAGATAAAAAAGTTTATCCTAGTTAGTTCAGTGCATCATTTTTGATGCGCAATTTCAAAATTTATGCACATCTTAGTTTTTTCGCCCAGGTTTTTTTTTTCTTGATAATCCAAAATGCACATGAAAAGGTGGATGGAAATGCAGCTAATGTTCCAAATGTTTCAGATAGTACTTGTTGTTGAAGAGTAAACCAGCCAATTAAATAAACACTGTTGTCATTTTTACAAGAAATGTGCAGTAAATTCTCACAACGTAACCAGAATATTACAACCATACAAATGTCTAGACGACTGAGATTAAATCCTTCAGTTCGATAGATAGCGACAAATAAATCTCGTCAGGCTCTAAATTCATTTAGATGAGTAAGGTATTTGAGGGAATTTTTTAATACAGAAATGCTTTACAATGATGAGATTCACACGTCAGCGGCTACACAAAAAACATTCAACCACCTCAAGAGAAAACTCACTGGTAGATCCTCAATACGAAAATTTCCTTCGCGTCCATCGTTTTTGCTGATTGCTAAGGTAAACATTACTACCCCACTTAAGACATTTGTAGTTTGGTTTTAGAAGAAAGAGCTGTTGTCACAAGACTTGTTTATTTACTCAATACTTCTGAGAAAAGATGGAGAAGGATGGGCGGATGCAGGAAGTTAAAGATTTAAAACAACATAAAAAGAAACCTAGTGAAAGAGGATTCTAAAGACTAGGGGTGTAACGGTTCACGGGATGTATTGAACCGTTTCGGTACGGCCTGTTCGGTTCGGTACACTTGCGTACCGTTTCGGTATTCGGTATTTGTATTAAATAATATAAATGTATTATTAGCACGATATTACGTGCAGCTGAACAATGTTCCTAGGCGAGTTTCCGCACGGACGCTATTGAGTGAAGCACAGTAGAGCTGCACGGGTAGCTGTGAGAAATGGAAACAGAGAAAGAGAAGCCAGAGCTTGAAGACCCTCCCACCTCACTACGGTCTCCTGTTTGGGAACACTTTGGCTTCTCTGTTAAAATACATAACGGGGATAGACGAGTGGATACATTTGAAGTTGTATGCCGACATTGTTCCACGGAGATCGGGCAGGCAACACATCAACATTTTCTACTGCTGGAGATATTGTCACTGCAACCAGATCTGTGCTCTCCTCAGAAAATGTGGATAGGTTCATCTATCCTATCTATCCTAACTAGTTGCAGTATTTCATTTTTTAAAAAATGTGTTTTTCTTTATAAAGAGTGCAATTTATTTAAAATATCACCCAAATGTGTCACTTTTATTTATTTTATGCAAGAATTGCACAAGTCACCAAGGGAAAAATGTGATGCATACTACTCTCTTGTCAGATGAGACAAAACTAGATATTCTTTGTGCTTTTTCACCCTAAAGATGTTGTCAATGTTGCAATAGCATGAGCGGGAGGTGGGACAGGGGGGTCAGTCCTTGTGAAAACTAAAACTTTTAAGAAGACAACCTCAGACAGCCTCCAAGAAATCTGGGTTTGGCTCGTTGTTTTGTCTTTCAGCGTAACAATAGCCCAAAACAGACATCACTTCTGCTTAAGAAACAGCTCAGAATGAGCAAAGTGAGTGTTCTTGGTTGGCCAACATAGCACATAGCACTCAAACCCAATAGAAATCCAGGAGAACACTAATATCCTGAGTTTAAGCTAGAAGACCAACAATCTGGAGGAGCTTGGAGATCTGCTCAGGCTACTATTCCTCAGGAGACACTGGGAAACGACAAAAGGTTGTAATCAAGCAAAAGGGATACAATATTGACATTATTATGGTCATGGAGTTCCTGAATAAACTATTATGTTCATAAATGTTATTTTCTTGAAATTGTAAGACATCACTTGGGAAATGTTTATACGAGTTCTTTCTCCTGCTGAAAACAATTGTTTTGAAGGAATCAGTGGTAAAACATCAGTTGATGTCTTTCTCAAAGATTCCCAGCGTCTGGCAGAATATCTTATAGTCGGTCAACCTCCGTATTTGTACGTTTTGGGTGAAATGTTCTCTTTTTCAACTCGAACTGCCGCTTATTTCAACGACGAGACACCATTTTTTTCCTATGTGTTTTTGCCAATTCCCCAGACAAACATTACTATCCCCCTTAAAGACATTTGTACTTTGATTGGATTTAGAAGATAGAGCTGTTGTCCAGTGACTTGTTCGTTTAGTTTGCCTTATCCACCTTATTAACCTAGTTACATTAAATCTAAAGCGTACTATTAGCATCCTGCAAAACAACTTGTAAAATAACCTGCTCTGTCATCATGGCAACGACTAAACACAGTGGTTTGAACTTCAGAGGAAAGTTGAAGAAGAACGGGCGGATGCAGGAAGGGAAAGTTTTCAAAAACCCAGGAAAGAAAACTAGTTAGAGGGGTTTCTAAAGACCCGAGAACAACTGTCAAGACCCTAGTGAAGGTCTGGGCTTGATGTCTCTACAGAGACTGTAACTAAAGGAGGACAACTGATGCAGATTAGGCAAGTGCTGGTAAAATATAAAAATAAATTGTAATTACTGCTTTACATTGTTGTATTTAAACTTCCCGGTACGAAAACAACTTGTTTTTTTAAACTGAACACAGTATATTTCATTTTTGGAAACATATAGAACATTTTGTTACATTGAACATCAGGCAAAATAATTAAAATAAATAATTTGAAATCATCTTTTAATTAAAAAAAAAAAAAACTGTCACTTGTTTGACCCTAAACCTGCAGCTCATCGATAATAAACATAAAATTAACATTTTTAAAAACAAATCGTTCTAAATGCAATAACTAACTAAAAAAAAAAAAGCAGCTCAACAATTGCTTGTTCACCTTTCCTAGATTAAGTTTGGAGCAGTGAGGTACGAAGATGTGTACGAGGATGTGTTTTATGGTCAGATGGAGACAAAACTTTATATTTTCTCCACATTTTGGTTCAAAAAGTTCTGTGTTCCACCACCAACAGTAAAAACCGCTCGACATCCACATTTTTCTATGTGTTCTTTGATTTCTTCTCTACCGTTGTCTTTTTTCCTGTTTCCCACTTTGGTGCGGATCATCATTGCATCAATATTTCTTAAGACGTAGACGACTCTTCTGAAAAGCCATCCAAAGACTGGTGTGAATCTCAATTCGGATCAGTGTGTAAAAACCCCAAAAAGACTTTGGGTTTGGCTCGACAATTTGTCTTCCAACATGACAGTGGCCCAAAACAGACGTCACTTCTACTGAAGAAATACCTCCAAATGAGCAAAGTGAGTGTTTTTGGCTGGCTGAAACGAAGCCCATACTTGAATCCAACAGAAAATCAGTGAATCTCGCTAACATCTGGAATTTATGCTAAAAGACCAACAAATCTGGAGGAGCTTGAGAGAACTAGTCAGAAAGAAAGAGCTAATATTCCTCAGGAGAACTATCAAACAAAATGCACTCACTTTTGACACTATTGAATGCTTGGTTAGTTAAATTTCAACTCTTCCAGAATAAAGTGTTACGTTCGTGAATGACGTTTTGCGTTTTGTTTCTGAAAACAAAGGAATCAGTGGGAAAAGATCCGTCGACATCTGTCTGAAATACACCCAACTGTTGATAGAATAATTTCCAGCTTGTTAACCACCATATATTTTATTTTTGGGCTGAAATGTTCTGTTTTAGAGGATTTTATTTGTTTTGAAGAATCCAGTGTGGTGACAAGAGAGCAAATCAAGAAGTGCGTTTAATTCCATTGACTAGATATCAGGTTGCATGTCAGGTTTGATTATTAAAAGAGGTTGTTAACTCCTAGCAGAAGACCTGAATGCTGCTATGTGCACCCAGGGGCAGTGTGTATGTGTGTGTGCGTGTGTGTGCGGGTGTGTGTGTGTATGTAAGTGGGTCAACCAGCTGGATTTACATGCCAGTATTATATGAATGAGTGACACTCTGAATTACATAAGATAAACAAGAGTGCATTCTAGCTCATGAGCCCACAGAAAGAAGAATGGAGGAGCACGTACAGTGGTTGGATCCGCTCCAGTGCTGATGCCTGATGGATGAGCTGAAGGGATGGGGCATCTTGTCCGGCATCAGGCATCCTCTGCTCTGATTATAGTAATCCATCATGAGGAAAGGGTTCACATCCACACTCTCGTACATGGTCAGGTCGGAGTCAGTTCCTCAAGGCAACAGCTGATCACTTCGCTCGAGGGTTAACATAGAGATGGATCCATCCCGGGTTATTCCCGGCGGAGATCAGGAACTAAACGCGCGTGCATGATCACAGCTCCGGTGCGGCGAACGTCCTTTCAACTACTTTTTTGCGAAAAGGATTGCTTTAAACGTGCATTGCAACAAACACGGGTCGTGTCAAACTAAACAAGTTCTCTAAAACACCACCAACTTGCACCGCGCATCAATAAATCCGTCAAACGTGTTTGGTCCAGTCTGGTCAGGGAAGCTCCTGCTGTTTAGTCCGGTTTGACTGCGTGTAAGCTTGTAGGGAGTCCCTTTCAAAGGTCTCGTGTCCTCCCGGTTGGAAACAGCTCACGGAAGCGGGTTTAATCAGCTTGTGTTGTTAATCCGCTCGGATAGAGTGTGTTCGCGCTCGCGGAGCTGCTGAGTGAGTGTGAGGGTATCCTGACGAGACCGACCAGCTGTCTGTAAGCCCCGCCCATCGTCCATGACGGAATTCTTACGACATATTGGCACCGCCCACACCGGCGAAAAGTTCTCCCCGCCTTTCAGCCTGTCCGTAA